TTCTCAGAGATTTCCGATTCATATCGGTCCGATGATGTCTCGATTCTGCCTTCGTCTGGCCTTCTGAGAAGTTTCTAAGCCCTACTCAGAAAGACACAGAAAACCTCTCAGAAGGCGCGAGGGCCTCTGAGAAGCCCCGCCGCCTTTGAGAGAGCCTCCTGCTTCTCACTGCCCCCCCTCGCTCGCCGCCGACGTTCAATCGGATGAGCGACTCCCCAAGGCTACCCTTGCACCCTTCCCCTTCGGCCCATGCTTGGCCGCTTCCGCTGGCTGCGCCCCGCCCGCAGGGTGCCGACATGGCCTCTCAAGGCCCTTGCATCCTCATCGTGCGTCCTTTATTCTACGGGTTGGCTGTAGAGCTATGCGAGGTATTTTTAGATCGGGGCCTTGTCTCAGTCGCCCGCATGTTCCCTGATCACTGCAGCTCGCCTGGGCATCGTTGCCGCGAGGCGTGAATGATATCCGAAACCCTCGTCGTGATATTTCTCACGACGCGAGGATGTCAGGGTCCACTGGATCCCTGCGGCCTCATCCTTCACAGCTGCTCCGTCCGACTCCGTCGAGGCGGGCGGCGACCGGCGCGCTCCAGACCGCGGTCCCCGAATTCGTGCCAAAACGGGCCAAGGCAGCCCAACGTTGTCCGCCAAGACACCCCCAGTCGCAGCCGCTGCCCGAGACAGCTCGCTCTGTGGCTGCCACCGCCCCCCATGGCCCCCCTGGACTGCCCAAGGCGTGGCCGGCCTCTCTCGAGAGGCCCATCTGCACACTTTGCACGTGGCCTTGGGTTCCACAATTTTCTCAATATGAATACTACTCTCCCTCTTCCCCTGATGACGGCCTGGGAGTGTCCGACCCCCCCCGCGTATGGTTTTTTACACAGGTTTCCCCGGAGTTGGGTTTTCGCTTGCATTTTTGTTTCAAACTGCTGCTCTCGCTGAGGCGCCGGCCTCATTTTCGGGCCCCGCTCGTTCCGAATCGTGCTCCCGCTGCAGCGCTGGCCTCATTTCCGTGCTTCCGCTCGTTCCGAATCGTGCTCCCGCTGCAGCGCTGGCCTCATTTCCGCGCTTCCGCTCGTTTCGACTCCCGCTGCAGTGCTGGCGTCATTTCCCGTGCCATGCCACGGCATGCACTGCAATGCTAGGTTGATACTACGCTTTGCGGTGCTCTTCTACGCCATGCCATGCCGTGCTCTACAATGCATCGCGTACCCATCATTGCCCTGCTCGACATCCGACTGAGCGAGTAGAGAGGGGATCTGCGCCATGGTAAGGGATGGGAGGGAGGGGTAGGATGTCAGATATGACGCGAGCGCACCTAGCTTGTCCTCCCCCCCTCCCTCCCCCGCCTCTCCCCTCCTCCCTCCCTTCCTCCCTCCCTCCTCCCTCCGCCCTCCTCCCTCCTCCCTCCTCCCTCCTCCCTCCTCCCTCCTCCCTCCTTCCTCCCATCTCGGCCCGGCGGCGCCAGAGTTGGCCCCGCACCCCGTCGCCGTGGGGACCGCCGGGCAAGCGGGAAAGTTTAGTCTGCTAATTACGGGGAGGAGAAGGAGGGGGAGGAGGAGGGAGGAGGAGGGGACGGTCGCGCAGAAGGCGCACCGGCACGGGCGGCCCGGCAGGGGAAGGGGAGGGAGGGGGAAGGGTAAGGGGGACGGGGGGCGGCGGTGTCCGTCGGCGGGGTGGTGGTGGTCAAGCTGGTGGCCGTGGTGGTCGTGGTGGTCGTGCTGGTGGTGGTCGTCGTGGTGGTCGTGATGTTGGTGGTCGTGGTGGCTGGTAGGTGTGGTCGGTTTGCTGGTGGTGCTGATGGTCGTGGTGGTCGTGCTGGCGGTGGTGATGTTGGTAGTCAGTCAGCTGGTAGTTGTGGTGGCCGTACGGGCGGCGGTGGTCCTGAGAGTCGGCCGGGCTGGTAGTGGTTATACTGGTGGTTGGTCACGTGGTGGTGATAGTGGTCAGCGCCTTCCTGCCCCTTCCTTCCTTCCTCCTCCCGCCTCCCTCCTCTCTCCTCGCTCCCTCTCGCCCACACTGGATATAAGCGAATTCCAGCGAATTCCCTCTTCCTCCCTCCTCCCTCCTCCCTACTCCCTCCTCCTTCCTCCCTCCCCCTTCCTTCTCCTCCTCCCTCCTCCCTCCTCTCTCGCACATCTTCCCTGCCTCCTCCTCGTTCCTCCTCCTTCCTCCCTCCTCCTTCTCCCTCCTCCCTTCTGCCTCCTCCCGGCCTCCTCCCCCCTGCCTCCTCCCTCCTCCTGCTCCTTCTCCTCTTCCACTTCCGATACCGCCCTCGCACGAAGTCCCAGAGCGACTCTGCATACAGCCAACCGCCACACTGTAGCGGAGCGTCGATGTTCCGGACCCCCGTCGTCCTGCGAAGATGAAGCCGGCCCATGGGCTCCTCAGCCGAGGGCTCCGCGCTCTTTCGTAGTGCTTTTCGTGCGACCGGGACGCTGTAGGATCCATTTGCACACCTGAGATCGCATGGAACAAATGCCTCTGCACGGGGTTTTGCAGGGGCTTGCGCACGGCTGTGTTTGAGGTTTGTACAAGGGGTTGAGAGAAGAGTGCTGCAGCGAGTGGAGGGTGCCCGATTGCCCCCTTGTGATCCTGGAGGGCTCTTGTGCAGGGCTTCCAGGTAGGGTGCACTTCGCTTCTCGGGGCTGTCATCGTTGTCTCTCGCCAGCCAGTCCTCCTGGGGTCGTTTTGGCTCCCCTCGAGGTGCTCTTAGGGTCTTCCGTGTTGATGCTGCCCCGCTAATGTGCAACGGAGTCCAAAGGAAGAAGTGTTGGGGTGTATGGCCTGGGCGCCTGTGTGACTGAACATTTGGGCCTTTCTTCTTGTGGCCACTGTGAGCCCACGTTTGTTTTCGTGGGTATTGTGCCCATCGTGGAGGGCCTTGAGACCATGTGGGGTGGGGGGGTGGGACCGTCTTGGGTCGTGGGCCGTCTTGGGATGGAAGAACTTTTGGGCCGTCTTTGAGGCCAACCAGAAGTCTGTGGGGCCATTTTTGGTGCATCTCGGGCTGCCTGGGGCTTTCTAGAGGCCTCCTGGACCCTCATGGCTGCGTATGGGAGCGATCGATTCCCCAAGGCAGTTGACAACCAATGCTTTTTGATTATTTTGAGCGTCAGGACCTCTTTGGGCTTTCTGGGGGTCTCTTGGGGCTTCCTGAATCTTCCTGATGCCCTGGAAAACCCTTGGGAATCAACGGAATCGTCAGACGACGACGTCCGAAAACCCCTGCATCAAGGAGCAACGCTTGTATTCAAACGATCAGAGTGTCGGGGATTGCTACCGCCAGCTTTCCGCTTCGCAGAGGTCGGTATTGCGAACCCCTTTCCACAGCCAAGCTATCAGAAATGCCGCCAAGGGACAGTTTGATATTTGATCGCCGTCGTCACCCCGATGGTTTGGTCTTCTGCTGCCTATTCACCCCCCTCCCCTCATCCCCCCTCCGCTCGGGTTCGAAGGCATGCAATGGGACAGCCAGCACGCTCCGCCACGCACGCGCCTTGGCAACTGCAGCGCTGGGCGCGGAAACGCAGCGTTCGCGAAGCGCACCAGCCAAAAAGAAAAAGAAAGTCGTCGGATATCACCTCACTTCTCAGTCTCTCCTTCCTTTCTCTCTCTCTCTCCTCCCCGTCCTCATCTTCATTTTCAGCCTGTTCTAGCATGATGGGGTCCCCCTCCCGTCAGTTGGGATCTCGCTGCCTCGATACGCCCGTTTTGGGACGCAGTCAAAACGTCCGTGTGAATACGCTGCGTGTTGGCTCAACGTATTGGCCCACGTTTTGGCGAACGCATCGCGTCAGACCTACGTTTTCCGTCTACGTGTTGAGCTCCGTCCCAACACGCTGCTTGTGGCGGGTTGCGTACCGGGGCAGCTATGCAGTGGGAAGCCGGCGATTTTCATTATCGGGCCGCCCTGCTGGACCAACCATAAAGCAATCGTCGGAGATCCCGGCACCGCAGTTCATTATCGTTTAACCGACCCCTATCCCCATCCCCGTCCCCTGCGAGACCCCCACCAAATATCCCCCCAGTTTGGGATACACCCCTCGAAACCCGAAGGGAACGGCCTACATTTCCATCTAGGGGGGTAAATCGGCCACTGGGGCCCAGGCCAAGCCGCTGGGGATAGGGGTCGGATAAACGGTGCTCAACAGCACGGCCAGTGCCCCCCCCGCCGACCCCCCCCCCCCCCGGGAAGGATGCGGCCAGGCGGCTGGAGGAGGCGGTCGAGAGCGGGGACCTGGAGGCCCCCCGCCCCTCCCCCGGGGGCAGGAGGCGGAGGAGTCAGAAGGGCGGCAGGAGGGAGGAGGGAGGAGGGAGGCAGGTGGGAGGAGGGGAGGAGGCAGGAGGGGGCGAGGAGGAGGTAGAGGATGATGATGAGGAGGAGGAGGAGGAAGAGGAGGAAGAGGAGGAACAGGAGGAGGAGGAGGAGAAGGAGGAGGAGGAGGAGGAGGAGGAAGAGGAGGAGGAGGAGGATAATGATGACCAGTGCAAACCCAAGACTCATCAACGATATTGCAATACAACTGTCCTCCACATTTCCTTGTCATTGGGCCCCTGCATCTGGAGCTGTGCCAGAACACGATTTCTGGGATTGCAACGCCGCGAATCCCCGTTAATGTTGGGTCTTGGCGATCCTGACTCGTGCGAGAACGCATTTCCTGGGACTTCAGCACTGCGAATCAATGTAACGGTTGCGGACGGCCACCACGGCTCCTCGTCAGGCAAGATGGTGCCGGAGCCCGCTGCGCACGGACAACCTCGAGTGCTGCGCGGGCCACGCGACTCGACATGGGGGTGTGTCCGAGCTGCGGACGGAGCGCTGGCTGGGCGTGCCGCATCGTTTGCAGCTTTGGGAAGGCGGCCCCTGACAAGATCGCGCAGAAAGCAAAGAAGGAATATCGGGAAGGTCGGGAAGGATCTGAATTTTCACTGGTGCGTTCGCCATCCCGATCTGTAGGAGGTGTTGGACTACGCTCAAAGCCTGCCCCGTGGTCGCAAGAGGCGAAGGACTTCCAGAAACTTCACGCGCACTTCAAGCAGCTCGTGGCCGAGAACAGGAAGCTCAAGTTCGCGCAGGACCAGAAGTCGCAGGGGGCGATGGAGGTCGACGGGGCGACGGCGCTGAGACGGGCCACGAAACCTCCGTTTTCGCTCAGCGCACGGAGCTGCAGGATAAGATCGACAAGTCCGATCAGGCAATCAAGATCTACGCGGAAACCGGCGACACGGAGCTGGCGGAGAGCACGAGGCTCAAGCTTGAGGCGACGGTGTTGCAGATCAAGGACTTGCGAACCCCTGCCACAGCCCACAAGCAGTGTTCTCAGATGCTCGAGCGGGTTCAAGAAGCATATCGCCACCGCGAAGAGTGACTTCGAGTTCTCACAGAAAAGTTGGGAATGGTGCAGCAAGAATTGGGTAACAAGAACGGCTACCTGGGGGCAAAGCATAAGAAGGACGCACTGCTCAGTGAAGAGGTGGCGGCGCACGCGGCAAAGCTCGGCCGCGGCAAGGCAGCTGAGGAGTTCGTTGAGGTGCCCGGGGGTGCGTTGCAGTTCGGCCCCGAGAGCAAGCGATCTCAGGGGTGACCCCGAGCTGCTCCAGTTCTACCAGTCCTTCACATCCAACCAGTACTCCAAAAGGATGCAGGCGCTGTGCAGGAAGAACATGGAAGCAAGGCGTGGCAAGGCCCGCGATCCTGCACATCCTTCTGCTGACGAACGTGCCCCCCCAGAGCCAGGGCATGCTGATGGGGCCGGTGGCGAAGCAGGCGGAAGCAGCCGTGGTGGCGCCAAACGAGCCGCGGACTTCTTGTGGGAGAAAGCAGACGCGGAGGAACTACGCGAGGCCATGTTCCAGAACGGGGGCGCCTTCGAGGTCAGCATGGGGCGATTGGCTGAGATGGCCCAGAACATCCAGAACACCAAGCACCGACGATTTGATAGAGGAAACGCTGCTTGAACGGGTGGCAGCACAGACTGTGTTTGACGAGACCAAGGGCGTGCGATGGGCTCCTGAGGTCCGCGGGTTGTCTTTGAAGAGTGGACGCTCTATGGCAGTGTCAATGCCAGCTCAGGCCATGGGGTCGCGCTTCATGGAGACGTGCAACGCGAACCTGGGCAAGCAGACCTTGAAGAAGCGCCTCCTCCAGACGCAGTCGCTGATCGTCCTCGGCAGGAGATTGGGTGCCATGACTGGGGGCTGTGAAGCTTTGAGCACGTGGGCCAGCAACCGCAGGTGGAGTGTGACGATCGTTCCAGGTGCGCCCGCGGGAGGGGAGTTGCCGTCGGCTGGGCTCGCCATTTTCGCGCGTGAAGGCGTGGGATTGCATGGGCCAGCTCATCCTGAAGGCAGTCTCGTGGCGCGAAGATTGGCAGTGCATAGTGCCGTCTCTTTTGGAAGTGAAAAGGTGCCGCATCGGGCGCAACGAGCAGTTGCAGAAGTTCCAGAATGGCCTCCGATCAGCATCTTCAACCTGTACCTGCATGCGGGGGAGGGGATGTCCATCGAGAACGTGAAGTTCTTGGGTTTCGGCATGGCTATGGCTGGACAGCAGTATTCTTCGTTCGTTGGTGGGGATCGGAAATTGCCAGCTGCTGAATTTGAAGCTTCCACGTTCACGGCTCGTGCTCGGGCGTGGCTGCTGGTGCCCGCAGGCGCAGCGTGCAGAACGGCGACGGCGAGTGCCATCATCGGTTACTTCGCCCTCGCAGCTGGCATGATGCGACTCGTTCAGACAGTCAAGGCAGACCTCGAGTGGCCCATCAAACATCGCTCGGCAAGGAGCTGGTCTACCTCGCGTGCGTCGGGGGCGACAAGTTGCCGCCGCAGAAGGTTGCCGGGCCGATGTTCGAAGATGCGCGCGGCTGGCAGTATGAACAGATATTCGCAGGTGGCGCAGTGGAGTTGGCAGCGCATGGATCGGCAAAGGCAGCTTGGCGACTCCTTCCGGCATGGGCGCGCTTTGCATCTGCGGCAGCTGCGCGACTTGCTCACCTCGCTGGGTCTCGGGTGCGCTTTCACTCATGGTGGCAATATCAGGTCTCGATGGGTTCCCTATACTTATGATTGGCATTGGCATCGAGCTTGAGGGCGAGATTCGCGGCTTCAGCGTGACGGCATACGTGGGAGGGCGTCTTTTGTCCTCTGCGGGTACCTCGGCTGTTGATCTTCAAAACTTAATGGAAGAGGCAGCTGAAGACATTGGCGTGGCAAAGAAGGATGCTGATCGTGGCAGTGATTTACGATGAAGGTAGTGGTGTGAAGGTGCGAGCGAAAAAGGAGAAGGACGGCTGCGAAGGGTTACGGCATATAGGCATGTGCAGGCGCCGACGATGATCATAGGTGGTCCTGGCGAGTTTCAATCGCATCCTCATCGCATAGTGCGAGATGCTAAGGACGTACACATCAAGCATTGGCAGTCTAGCTCTGCAGCGCCGAAGGCGTGGATGCCAGATCGAGATGGCCTTCCCCGGGTGACGGCAGCGGAGGCGCGCAAGGCATCGGCTTATCGGATGCGGGCCTGGCAGTGTTGGGCACGTTTTGGAAAGCAAGTGAAAAGATCGGCTTCTGCCCATTGCGGCTCGCGTGGATGGTCGCGCCGATGTTGCCGAAGACGGTTGGAGGCAGCAGGCCCATCATCTTATACTCGTCGAACTACAGCGCGTGGCAAAGGGCAAAGGGCTCGGCGCAAGGTGCTCGACGACCTGCGGGGCGCAGTGTGCGGGCAGATGCTGGGGTGCAGCGGCTGGTCGTTCGGTGGTGGGCAGTGCGTGCAGGTTACCAGCCAAGGCCGAGGCCCGCGCATCAAAGATGCGGCACGCGACCGCCCTCGTCGCGGACTACAGCAAGCATTGCGGGGCGATTCCCCCTGGAACAAGCTCGCGATGAACGTTGTCGGCCTGGAGGTAAAATTGCTCGGACCAAACTGGTCTTCAAGCAGTGGCAAGGCCCAGCAAACACTAGAGCGAGATCTCACCATGGAGCACGGCCCCAGCACGCTGTGCACGGGCTATCCGCTGGAGATGGCTACGCGGACGTAGTCATTAAGGCGCGCGCAGTGGATGAGTATGACACGTGCATCGCAGTCCATCAGTACGCATCCATCTCGTCCTACATTGGCGACGCGGCGCTGGGCATCGAGGGTGGGCGCCACGACGTCATTGCCAAAGCAGTGGGGGCGGGGCAAGGATTTCGCACGACGATCTCCAGGTTTCAGGCCTCCAGCAACGAGGCAAGGTGCGAGCTTCCGCGGGAGCTGGGCGAAAGTATCTGGCGCGCTCGGCTCGACGTCAACAACGAATGCGGAAGATCGGCAAGTTTCGGATGGATATCCCGGCCAGGCCAGTGAAAGGATCGCGCGCATCTTCGAGACTGGGGCGAAGCCCGCGCTAACTTTCCGAGTTGAGGTCAACTGCATGAGTGACAGCGAATTTGCACGACTTCGCAAATGATGCCGGCGACAACGGACACCGAATCATTGAGGCGTGTCTGCATCAGCAAAGTTGGTAATATCGGAAAGAGCGTGTTTTACCGCTGCTGGCAGAAAACCGGGGGGGGTCACTACCGGTTCGACCCGCCCCCCCCCCCCGGAAAACCGGGGAGGGGTCGCTACCGGTTCGAACCCCTCCCCCCCCCCCAGCTCATCATGAAAAGGGGGGGGGGGGGTCACTGCCGGTTCGAACCCCCCCCCTCGAAAACCCGAAAACCGGGGGGGGTCACTACCGGTTCGCCCCCCCCCCCCTCGAAAACCGAGTGGGGGTGCGGACAGTGGTGGGGGCGGTGGCGGTGGGGGCAGTGGTGAGGGGACAGCGGGACAGAGGTGGGGACAGTGGGACAGGGGACAGTGGTAGGGACGGTAGTGGTGGGGACAGCGGTGGGGACAATGGTGGGAACAGTGGGGACAGTGGACAGTGGTGGGGGCGGTGGTGGTGGGGACAGCGGTGTGGGGACAGTGGGGATGAGGTGAAAACAGTGGGACAGTGGAGGGTACAATGGTGGTGGGGACAGTGGTGAAGGCGGTGGCGAGGACAGCGGTGGGACAATGGGACAGAGGTACAGTGGGGACAGTGGTGGGGGCAGCGGGGACAGTGGTGGGAAGAGTGGGGCAGCTCAGTGGGGCAGCGGAGGAGTCAGTGGGGCAGCGGGGACAGTGGGGATAGTCGGGCAGTGGTTGGTGCCGTGGAGACAGTGGGGAAAGTGGAGCCGTGGTGGGAACAGTAGTGGGGACAGTAGGGACAGTGCGACAGTGGTGGGGGCACTGGTGGGGACAGTAGGGACGGTGGTGGAACCAGCGGGGACAGTGGTGGTGAGGACAGTGGTGCTGGGAACAACAGTGGGGGATGTGATGCGGACGGTGGTAGGGACCAGGGGTCGTTTGCTGGCGGTGAGTGGGGGGAGGGGGGGATTCGAACCGGTAGTGACCCTCCCTCCGGTTTTCGATGGGGGCGGGGGGTTCGACCCGGTAGTGGCCCCCCCCCCCCCCCAGTTTTCGAGAGGGGGGGGGGGGTCGAACCGGCAGTGGCCCCCCACCGGTTTTCGAAGGGGGAGGGGGGGGGGAGGGGTTAGGGGATGGGGGGGGGTTTTGCCGGGGAGGGGGGGGGGGGGGTCCAGCAGGGGGGGGGGGGGGGGGGATTTTCGGGGGGGGGGGCGACCCCCGGGTTCCGGAGGAAAAGGCTGGCAATTTTCTACAGTAAAGCGGCGGTGGATCACGCTTTCGTTAATATTCGGAGACCCTGCAGCGCGAGAGCCGTTGGCCTCTGCACTTCAGTGGTGTCGTGCGTGCTGGGCCCCGACGCATTGCCCACAACCAGCAACAGTCAGCATTGATGATTTTCATGGATGGTGGGATCGAGCAGTCAGCGAGCCTAGGGTCGTGGTAAAGTGGGGTCAGACACGAGGGCCGCTACGACGTGCAGCTCTCCGTGTTCAACGCGCAGGATGGGTCGTGCTATCTGGGGCGTCATGGCGCAAAGGCCGTGGGGAGACGGTCGACATCGCGCAGGTGGCCCCAGCGATGCTGGAGACCCTGCTAACGCGAGGTCTGACGTGGCAGCGCGAGATGGCCTCGGGTGCGAAGTGGTATGATGACCCCTCGATGCGCGCATCCTTCGACTTCGTCGCCCCGTACGTTCGGGCAGGCAGCAGGCGCTGCAACCATCGCCGGAAGTTCAGCATCATGAAGTGCGCGTGCGACGGGGCACGGGCCAGGGCAAGGGCGCGACGACGAGGCTGCATCACGGACGGCAAGTGCAGGTGTGGAAGCATCGACGCCCTGGTTCACGGGCTAGCTGATTGCCCTCTACCTGAAGTGGTTGCGGCACGTGAGGGGAATGAGTTTGAACAGCAATTACTTCGGGCACTACGAGATGCAGGAGATGATGGCCCGCTGCTTCGTGGAGCATTTGCCTATCATGAGGAAGACATGCCTCGAATGGACCTCGGGTTGCAAGCACGCAGCGTCGATGTCGATGGCAATGACGCGGGGCAGGAGGCTGAGGACATTGTCCATTATGCGGTGCCCCCTACTACTCAGCAGATCGAGTTTGCGATTGGCGGCTCGTGCTCCAATCTGGTGCTGCTGGAGCTACAAAGGGCAGGGTGGGCGACAGCAGTCCTGGACCCTGACGGTGATCGACCCCTGCGCGTTATGTATGCAGCAGTGCCTGCAAGCTTGCCCCAGACGTCGGCGATGGCGGAGTGCCTCTCGTTTGCGTTCTCTTGCCCAGTAGCAAACGGACCAGCTGCACTTCACGCCGACTTCAAGAGCGCGATCAACCTCTTCCAGCAGACGGCGCAGGAGAGGGTGCAGGTGACGCAGCGGTATGGAGGAGCTTCTTTGGGCTTGCGCATAGAGCCTACCAGGGCTCACCCTCATCCAGGACGTCAGTCGCACCAAGGCACGTAGATCAGGTGAGGAGCGCAGCAACCTCGACGCGGCGACAAAAAGGATCACCGACGGAAGTGTTGTGGCTCACCGTCTTGCTGAACTAGGAGTAAGAACGTTGGCAGCGGGCCTCCAGCGGCTACCAGCGCGTCAAGGGCATCAGGGCGGACAACTGGCACGACTGGCATGGCGCGGATTTGGGCCCGCAGCGTTCGATGTGCTTGCGTCTGTGGCAGCCTGGCTTTCAAGAGCTCAATGGATGTGCTGGGGCGCCTACCTTCTTCAAAGAATGCATGAACAACCCCTCGGGACACTGGCTCATCGCGGTCGACCAGGAAGGCGAGCTCAGCGACATGGCGTGCAAGGCGACGGTGTCCGTATGCGTCAAGTGCGGGGCTTGGGCGCAGCATCGGCGCAATTTAAAGCTGCGCGAGCAGTGCGCGTGGCCTACAGTCAAATGAATGGAGGTCCTCGCGAACCTGCGCAAAGGCATTGGCCCCCGCAAGCGGTTGGCACGGCAGATAGATGCAAGTCTACCCCTGCGAACCCGAGAGCATCGTGGACTTCGCCTGAGCGAGTGGTCACCAAGGTTGCTCGGCCAGTGCCTGATGGGCCCTATGAATTCGAGCAGCGAAGTGCGAACCTACATGCGCGCGTGCGCGCTGAGGAGCAGGCGGCGAAGCAGGCAACGGAGGAACCCAACGCCATGCTTGGCAACGGCGGCATCATGTCCAATGCTACTACGGAAGGGGCACCTGGTGCGATGGGACTACCACCAGCAATGCCAGAGCGAGATCAATCAATACAAGATTACGACGACATGAGAGCTGATCGGCGCAACTGGGCGGCGATCTGGTTTGACGACCGCGCGCGCAGGGCTGACGATGGAGCGCAGTGGCACGAATGTTACGAGGCGTTCCTTGGATCGATGATCAACCGAGGCAACAACGAGCCACTGCGATGGCTACTGCTCAGCTGGTTTCCTAGAAGGGCTATTGCCGACATATTCGCAGACCTGCGTAGCAGCGCGTGGCGACAATCACAAGGTTGACGCGATGCATTCGTGCGCAGCCTATCGGAAATATTGGGGGACGTGCGACAGCAACTTGAACGTGCGCGCTGGAGTGAGCTCGCGGACGTGCGCGCTATGTTCAGACAGTTTCTTTGGGACGCAGCTGCAGATCGACTGCGACCTCCGCTCCCTCGCAGACCAGATCCAGATGGCGATCAGGCTACCGATCGAGCTTCAGCAGGGTTGTGCAGCATCGAGTGAACGGGAGTGGCACGCTCGGCAGGAGAAACGAGTGCAACGGCACCTTCAGCACCACCACCGAGGCGAAGGAGCACGGGCAAGCGGAGCGGACAGCGTGAAGTCCAGACACCGACGGCCCCAGCCAGGCGATGGGGGTAGGCCTGACCGGCAGGCCGAGAAGGCGCAGCACGTCACCCCAGCCAGGCGAGGGGCAAGGCCTGACGTGCCGAACTTGATGGCGCAGGCTATGGGGGGTCCGGCTCTTCTGAGGGCCCGTTAGGTCAGGGCGCTGCGGGCCAGATCGAGATGATGCAGCGCGTTTCCCCAGCCAGGCCAGGGGTCAGGCCCGGCATGGGGGGCGCGATGGTGCGGGCCATCGGCGGGTCTGGCTCCACTGAGGGCCTTCGGGTCAGAGCGCCGCGGGTCAGGAACCCGTCGCGGGGTGCTCCTCGGGCCCCGTGGCGGTCGCGTCGCCGTGGTTTTTGCCGGGGCACCGACATGCAGCTCGAAAGGGCGCGGCATGAGGCGCTACAGCTTCGGGCGATGGCGGGAAGGCGCGCGGGGCGCGCGAGGGGCGGCGCGCTGGCCCGAGCGTTGAGGGGGGCAGCTCCGCGAGCGCCCCGACCCGTTGCTCCCGAGCCAGGGGCAACGGGGCGACCGCTCCAGGAGGCGGAATCAATGACGAGGCGTTGCAGCAAGTTTCCCGAGCCAGGCGAGGGGCAAGGCCTGCCATGATCGACGAGGTGGTGCAGTGCAATTCCCCAGCCGGGAGGGGTCAGGCCTGAGGTGCAGAGCGAACGCGCTCGCACCAACCTTGACGAGGAGGACGGCGTCTTCGAGCAGTGCAATTTCGACTACGAGGAGATGTTCGGCCTCGACACTGCGGCACTTTCGCAGTGGCACTGACTGATGCGACATCAGAGGGTGCAGCGGTGAATACGTGCACGTGTATTCGATTATGCGGCGGGCAGTGCGTCGACTCCGACCCGTTGGTCTTCGAGTTCAGCCTCTCGCTGGACCTGGTGTCCAGCGCCTCCGCGCCTTCTCGTCCCCTGAGAGGGGGCGCGCCTGCTGGCCCCGGCAGGCGCGCGGGAGCGCGGCCGCGGTGGGCGTCGCCGCCGCGCTCGGCCCTCGGGGCATACCCCGCTTCCGCGGCCCGACCTACCTACCGACCCTCCCCCTCGGCCTCCGCCTCCTCCTCTCCCTCCCCCTCCTCCTCGTATTCTTCCTCCTCTGCGTCCTTGCCTTCTTCCTCCTTCACACCTCCCCTCCTCCTCCTCCTCCTCCTCCTCATCTCCGCCCCGCCTGTTCTCCTCGTGCACCTCTCCTTCCTCCTGGCGGGGGCGCGCGCGTCGGTTTTCCCCGGCGCCGTCGCCGCCTCGGCCAGCGCGGGCGCATTCTCTAATGGCCGCAGCGCGCAGCCGTTGGGACAACCAACCCCGCGGGCCAGGTCGTCGGGGCAACCCCGCGAGCTGTTGGCGCGCGAGACCAAGCCGTTGGGGCAACCCCGCGGGCTTCGAGCGGGGCGCAGCCGCGCTCAGGCGAGAGGCAGTACGAAACCCAATTCTGCCGCGAGTTGCTCCGCCTCTGCCATGGAGCTCTTCGCTATCTCGTCGAACTTCCCGATTGCCTTCCGCGAGGACGCCGGCGGCCCTCGCCCCAGAAACTCGCGCGAGGGCGGCCGCGGGATCAGCGTGTTCCGCAAGCGCGTGGCGCGGGAAAACATGACGTAGAGGTGCAGCCACCGATGGTCGTCCGACACGCCCGTGCGGCCAGCGTCCTTGTCCCCGGCGCAATAGGACGCGTGCGTCATGGTGGACATCGAGCGGCGCGCGGCGTGCGGCCCTGAGCTCTGCCACGTGAGCTCCTGCGCGCTGGGCATGAACATCAGCAGGCTACGCGCCTCGGCCTGGCCGTCTTCGTCGGCGCCTTCGGCGCAATGTCGCAACAGCTCGGCGACCTCGTGGTAGATCGGAGACTCTTCGGAATCGTGCACCTGCAGCCAGATTCCCTGCGGTAGAAAGTGGGAACGGAAGAGCTAGCCTGGCGTGCACTCTTCGTGCCGGTGCTCGTCCTCGGGGTGGAACTCGAAGGACACGATGATGGCTCGTTGCTCCTGCACGAGTCTCAAGTTCTTCTTCAACTCGTCCTGCACTGCAGTGAATCGCACCTCCATGCCGACGCGGGCCGGTACGGCGCAGTGGATGTCCCCCGCCTTGTGCATGTTCGGGACGTTCATGAGGCGCCGACCCGCGTCGGGATTGCCCTGAATCGTGTTGCACTCGTCCACGGCTTGCAGGAAAACGAGGCGTACGCCCAGACGCCGCAAGTCGCAACGGGCGCGCGTGTTGATCGGCTTCGCAATTCAGTCGCAGAATATGTTCCCGCCTCATACTCCCCAAATATTCAGGCCTCAGGAGCCCCAAAGTGGACGACAGTTACAAGGTTCCGATGGCCCGCTCGGATTCGTAACATGATCTGCGGGCCACACAAGGAGGAGGCTCCCGCCTGAGACTTCCTCGCAATTCACTCACAGACGAGGCTCCCGCTTGACACGTCCCCCATATGCAGGCCCCACGAACCCAAAAATGACGACAGTTCCATGGTTCGGATGACCCGTTCGGACTAGTAACATGATGTGCGGACCCCATCCGGAGGAGGCTCCCCATTCTCAACCACCCAGGGAGCGGCGCGGTCTCGGCTGGATGCGCGCACTCCCCTACCCAACCGTGCCTCCGAACAGCCCCCGAACGTGGCGACAGTTGCGCAGTTCACAGCCACCCTGGGAGCACCGAGATATTGGGCTGGATGACCGTTCTCCCCTCCTCCGCAGTGCCTCCCGGGAACCCCCGAAACTGTCGACAACTGCGCAGCTCGCAGCCCCTAAGGGAACCGCGAGGTCTCGGCTGGTTGTGCGGACTCTCCTACATCGCCGTGCTTCCCAGGAGTCCATGGGAATGGCGACAGTCGCAAAGCTCGCAGCCACCCAGGGAGCCGCGAAGTCTCGGCTGAATTCGCGCACTCCCTTACTCCGCCGTGCCCCCCCCGCCCCCCCCACGGAGTCAATGAGAGTGGCGACAACTGCGCAGTTCGCAGCCACCCAGGGAGCTGCGAGGTCTCGACTGGATGCTTGTACTCCCCCTACGCCGCTGTGCCTCCCAGGAGCCCCCGAAAGTGGCGACAGTTGCGCAGTTCGCAGCCACCTGATGAGCAGCGCAGGAGAAGGCATGAGGGCGTACGAGGGAGGAGGGAAGAGGTGCGCGACCGCAATGCTCCAATAAAACACGAATCTTACACAGGATGCTTTCTGAATCATGTCCATGACGACGTTCCTGGTGCTCATGGTTGCGATGGCACGTGGTACTACGACGATGATTATGGTGATGATAATGATTATGATGCTGCTGCTGCTGATGATGATGATGATGATGATCATGATGAATGATGATGATGATGCAGCTGCTAATTATGATGCTGACGCTGGTGACGCTGATGCTGATGCTGATACTGATGGTGATGGTGATGCTCCTACTGATGGTGTTGACGATGATGATGTGGATGATGCTGATGATAATGATACTGATGATGCTGATGATGCTGCTAGTGATGATGATGCCGGTAGTGGTGACGATGACGATGCTGATGATGATGCTGATGATGCTGCTGCTGCTGCTGATGATGATGATGATGATGATTATGACGATGATGATGATGTTGAGTATGGTGAGGGTGACGACGATGCTGATTCTGATGGTGATCATGCTGTTTATGCTGATGATGGCAATGTTGCTGATGCTGATGATGCTGATGATGACGAAAATGATGCTGATGATGGTGATCAGGATGAGGATGAGGATGGGGATGATAATGATGATGAGGATGAGGATGAGGATGAGGATGAGGATGATGATGATGATGATGATGATGATGATCCTGATGATGATGATGATGATAGAATGATGATGATGACGATGATGCTGATGATGTTGATGCTGATGATGATGATGCTGATGATGATGATATGATGATGATGATGATGATGCTGGTGACTGTTGCGACGATGCTCCGCCACTCCGGACAGGTCAAGAGCCCCCCCCGCCCGACGGCTCAAAGGGCCCCCAAGAGGCTTCCGCGAGGGTTCCAGGAGCTCCTCCAGGGCGGACCAAGATGCGTACACTATGTTCATAACGACGATGCTCAGGGTCATGGTTGCGATGAAAGATGATTACGTCGAAGATGAGGATGACTATGAGGATGATGAAGGAATTGATGCAGATGATGACGCCGATGATGATGCTGATGATGCTGACGACGATAACGATGATGCTGATGATGAAGATGATGATGATGATGATGATGATGATGATGCTGACGATGATGATGATGATGATGATGATGATGATGATACTGCTAATGATAATGCTGATGCTGATGATGCTGGATCGGATACTGATGACCATGCTGATCATGATCATGGTAATGGTGAGCATACTAGCATTATTAACATGGCGACGCTGCTGATCTTAATGATGATGACGTTTATGATCTTGATGATACTGGGTTTGATGATGGTCAGACTGCTGACGATACTGACGATGATGCTGATGATGATACTTGTGATCTTTATGGCGATGTTGCTGCTGCCGATGATGCTGCTGATGCAGATCCTGATTGCGATGCTGTTCCTCATGATAATGCTGATGTTGATGCTGATGAAACTGATGATGCTGATGCTTCTGCTTTTGCTGATAGTGGGGATGAGTCTGATGCTGATGGTGATCGTGATTCTGATGCTGTTGAGGATGATGATGGCGATGCTAATGATGATGCTGATGATGCTGCTGGTGATGATGCTGATGCTAATACTGGCGATGATGCTAATTTGGATGATGTTGATGCTGATGATGATGATGGTGATGCTGATTATGATGATGAGGATGATGCTGCTGATGACGATACTGACGATAATGATGATGATGTTGATGACGACGATGATGAGCATGATGATGGTGATGATAATGGGGCTGATGATTATGATTATGCTGATGATTGAGATGGTGATGCAGATGGTTGGTGACGGTGATGATTGTGGTGATGATGG